AGAGTATGATTACATTATTATAATTTATTTATTTTATTATTTTTATAAAATTAATAATTTTAATAATAAAAAATATAAAAAATACATTTAATTATTTTTAAACATATCCTCATCAATCATTTAATACTATCCATCATAGGGATATCAACGGGGCCTCGCGGGACCGGGGAGGCCCTCCCCATCCCCGTACCCGTGAATAACAGAGACGAGGATCCCGCAGAGATTTTTTACGGAGGGCAAAATTTGCCTTCCATCCTCGTTTCTCATTAATTAATATCTAAATATATATTTTTTATATCAAACATAATCAAAATCACAGCAAAATCAACTTTGACTTCGACTTTGAGTAGCAGTAGCGTGGCGGAGTAGTGGCGGGACAGTGGCGCAGCCGTGGCGGGGCAGTGGTGCAGCTGTGGCAGAGCAGTGGCACAACAGCAGCAGCAGCATGGCGCAGACGGATTTCGTTCGGCAACAGCAGTCCAGACTCCAATTATAGGCAGAAGGGTGAGATGTGAAATAGAGAAGGAAAGAAGGGTGACAATGAAGGGATTGAGGGATTTAGGGTTTGAAATTTGTAGGGAGGGCCAAAAGGGAAGGTGGAAGATGACTTTAGTGAAAGTGAGTGTGTGTGTGAGAGAGTCGAAAGGTGAGAGGCAGGGACAGTCACTGCAGAAATGGAGAAACAAATAAGGTTGCCTAGGGTTAAAAGGATGCTTACGGTTACAAAGATTGGGTTGAGCTTTGAGTTGGGCTTTGGGGTGGGTTAAATTTTATTGAATTGGGTTGGGTTTTAAAATTATATTAAATTTAAAATGAAATTAATTTATTTTTTTTTAATTTTTCGTGGGGATGGGGATCTTCGCAGGGTCCCGCGGGGTGAAAAAAATTTCCTACAAAATTTCACAAAAGAAAAATACCTTCGTCCCCGCCCCGCGAGAAGGAATATTCCTCCCCGTCCCGTCCCGTCCCCGTGACGGGGATCCCCACAGGGCCCGCGGGGATCGGGGCAAATTGCCATCCCTAATCCATCACTCATTATCTACTAACTATCACTCGCTATCCACTACCATTATTCACTAAATTTTAATCGATATGCCCAAATAAGCTCTAAGCCCTCCATTTTTAATACTTCCAATTTTGAGGAGATTTGAAAGAATTTCATTTATTTTTATTTTAACTTTTTACATTTTTTAAAATGTAATTAAAATTTTCATTTTAGTTTCCATTTTAATATATAAATTTATAAAATTTTAATTAATTTTATAATTATTTTTTTAATTTATTTAATTAAATAAAAAATACAATCTTTCCCTCCCTCTTGGATTTTTTTTTTTCAATTTATTCAAACAAAGTTTCCTCTCCTTTCTTTTCCCTCTCTTCTCTAGCTCATCCTTTCCTTCAATCTCCTTTATTAATATATTTATCCAAACATATCCTAAATAAAAAAATAAACTTAAATAAAAAAAAATAGAGAGAGAGAGAGAAATTGACCAGTGACGATGGCAGTGAGTCCAGTTCCATCAATCCCTTGAGTGACCTCCTCAGCCGTGGAAGATCCTGAGAACCCAGAGGGACCTTTCCTGTTAAACAATGGCATCTCTCTCCAAAGCACTGCCCTTCTGCTCCTACTAGTGTGGGGTTCTGCTCATAGAATCAATCCAAGAGATCATGAATGAAAAGGATATAGTTAGAAACTGAGCGACGGCATGAAAATGGCAGCAGCTGCTGCGGCATGAAAAAAATGAGAAAAAAATTACTAGAGCGCGGCGAAGAAAGGAGCCGTGATTACAGAATTCAGAAGCGGAGTCTCCTCAGAGACAGTTTATGTTATCTCCCCAGTTGTCGGCAAGGCAACCCATTTAAATGCCGTATAAATTTTTAAAGATTACCCATTTTTATTTTTAATATATTTATTTTAATTATTTTAATTTTTTAAACATAAATTTTAAGTAAAAATTTAA